CATTTTGTGGCAAATGACATTTATTTATTCAGATGCATAAAGAAAGCAGGAACACTGAAAACTTAGAATCACATATTAGACCTCCTAGATCCTCAAGTCCAGCCTTTGACTGAACACCACCATGTCAACTCAACCATACCACTAAGTGCCATGTCCAATTGTTTCTGGAATACTTCCAGTGATGGTGAATCCACCACCTCTCTGGGCAGACCATTCCCATGCTTAACTACCCTTTTGGTAAGAAATTCTTCCTGATGTACAACCTGAATCTCCCCTGGTGCAGCTTGACTGCATTTTCTCTCATCCTGTTATGAGCTGCTTGGGAGAAGAGGCTGATTCTCAGCTTGCTATAACCTCCTTTTCGGTAGTTGTAGAGAGCAATAAGGTCTCTCCTGAACATCCTCTTCTCCAGGCTAAGCAACCCCAGCTCCCTTAGCCCTCTGTAGACCCTTCACCATTTTTTTCCCCTTCTCTAGACTTGCTCCAGCACCTCGTTGTCTTTCCTGTAATGTGGGGCCCAGAACTGGACACAGTAGTCAAGGTGGAGCCTCACCAGTGCAAGTATAGAGGGCCAATCACTTGCCTAGTTCTGCTGGCCACACTATTCCTGATATAAGCCAGGATGCCATTGGCCTTCTTGGCCACCTTGGTACACTATTGGCTCATGTTTAGCTGCTGTTGGCCAGCACCCCCAGGTCCTTTTCTGTCAGGCAGCTTTCTAGCCACTCTTCCCCCATCCTGTAACATTCCATAGTGTTGTTGTGACCCAAGTGCAGGACCTGGCACTTTGCCTTATGGAACCTCATACCACTGGCCTCGGTCCATGGATCCAGCTGGTCCAGGTTCCTCTGCAGAGGATCTACTCCCCAGCAGATCAACACTCCCACCCAACATAATATGGACCGTGAACTTACTGAGGGTGCTCCTGATCCCCTCATCCAGATCATCAATAAGGGTATTAAATAGGACTGGCCCCAATACTGAGCCCTAAGGAACCCTATTAATGACTGGTTGCCAACTAGATGCAGCACCATTCACCACCACTCTCTGGGCCTGGCCATCCAGCTAGTTTTTAACCCAGTGAACAACATGCTTGTACTCTTCCTAAGTTGCCCTTCCAAAGGTCATAAACTCTCTTTTTTTTTTTGCCAAGTTAGAATGAAAGCTGCCTGTTCAACCAGGGTGATCTTCTTCCCTGAGGGCTCATCTTTCAACACATAAGGACATCCTCCTCCTGAGCCTTTAAAGCTTCCTTCTTAAAGTATGTCCAGCCTTCCTGGACCCCTTTGTTATTAAGGACTGTTTCCCAAGAGACTATCTGAACCAGTGTCCTAAACCAGTCAAAGTCCAAGGTAGAGGTTTTGTTGACCCCTTTCCTTACATCACCAAAAATTGAAAAATCATCTTTCATGGTCTCTATGCTCAAAATGGCCTCCAGTCACCACATTTACAGCTTGTAATTAACCACTTCATCCTCAATGGATGATTCCAAAGACCACCATTTCCCTGCAAATTCTGGGCTTTAAAACCTACCCTGTTCTTAAAAACACACTTAGGAATGATTTATTAGTGATAAAAATAATGCGTGCAGGTGTGTTGGACTGTATGAGATACTGTTTTTCTTCAGTAACACATTCAGGAAATATTGTCATTCTTCATTTTTAGTCTATTCAGTTCTAGGTGAGCACATACATATACTACATTGAAGTATCTCATTTGTATACATCAGGCTATCCACATTTTACCACATGGAGGTACCACATTATTAATAGCTGTTTTCCTTAAATAGACTACAGTTTGCTTAATCTTTCTTTCTGTGCATGATCTTGCAAGAGTAAAAAGGCTTTCATACAAAGGCTGTGTTTTTATATGCAAATCTATTATTTGATTACCCACTTTTTTGTCCCTACATTATCATGAATATATCTGATGAATGTTTTATGGGTTAGGTTTGGGATTTGTGAGCTATTTTAAATTTTATCTGTTTGCCATATCATCTGCAAATACTGCATCTTTGTTGATGTTGATTGGTCTCATTTACATATTTATCACACTTTTATTTTCAAGGGTGTTTTGCTATAAACTGTCCTAATTTCTCCTCCATATACTACGAGTAGATGGATGTATTTTCAAATTGAGCCCATTTCCATAGATAATTTTTTTTTGGTTAACAATAAATCATCACTTAGAGACATCCCATTCAATGTCTTCATACATATCTGACATATGGTTTCTAATTAAAAATAACAGAAGCAGTTCACAATGCACTTTGCAACGCACTTCATAGTCCAGAGAAATCAATGATTTTCCATAAGGACTAGGCTAAAAGGAACTCTGCATGTCTGTGGAGAAACAAGTGCCAACAATACTGGCAAAACTGGATAAAGAACTGGCTGGCTGGTCACACGCAGAGAGTTGTGGTTCATTGTCCACATGGAGGCCAGTGAGGAGTGCTGTCCCTCAGGGGTCAGTGCTGGGGCTGATACTGTGCAAAATCTTTGTCGGTGACATGGACAGTGGGATTGAGTGCACCCTCAGCAAGTTCACTGATGACACCAAGCTGTGTGGGGCAGTCCCACACTGGAGGGAAGGGAAGGGATATCCAGGGGAACCTTGACAGGTTTGAGAGGTGTGCTGATGCAGACTTCATGAAGTTTAACAAAATGAAGTGCAAGGTCCTACATCTGGGTCATGGCAATCCCAGGCACAGCTACAGGTTGGGTGGGGAAGTAATTGAAATCAGCAGTGAGGAGAAGGAATTGGGAGTGACACTGGATGAGAAGCTCTTTGAGAGGTGTGCTGATGCAGACTTCATGAAGTTTAACAAAATGAAGTGCAAGGTCCTACATCTGGGTCATGGCAATCCCAGGCACAGCTACAGGTTGGGTGGGGAAGTAATTGAAATCAGCAGTGAGGAGAAGGAATTGGGAGTGACACTGGATGAGAAGCTCACCATGAGCCAGCAGTGTGCACTAGCAGGCCAGGAAGCCAATTGAGTCCTGGGCTACATCAAAAGGAGTGTGGCCAGCAGGTGAAAAGAGGTGATTTCTTCTCCTCTGCTCTCGTGAGAACCCACCTGGAATACTGTGTGCAGTTCTGGTGTCCTCAACATAAGGAGGACATGGAACTGTTGGAGCAAGTCCAGAGGAGGACCATGAAGTTGGTAAGAGGACTGGAGCATCTCCCCTGTGAGGACAGGCTGAGGAAGTTGGGGCTGTCCAGTCTGGAGAAGATGAGACTGTGTGGACACTTCATAGCAACTTTTTGATATCAGAAGAGGGTCTACAAGGGAGCTGGAGAGGGACTTTTTGTTAGGAACTGCAATGATAGGATGGGGGAATGGATTCAAACTGAGGGAGGGGAAGTTTAGGTTAGGTATTAGAAAAAGGGTTTTAACTATAAGGGTAGTGTGACATTTGAACAGGTTGCCTGGGGACGTGGTAGCTGCCCTGACCCTGGCAGTGTTCAAGGCCAGGATGGATGAAGCCTTGAGCAACCTGATCTAGTGGGGAGGTGTCCCTGTCCGTGGCAAGGAGGGTTGGGACTAGATGATCTGTAAGGTCCATTCCAACCCTTAGATTCTATAACTCTATGATTCTGTGAATACAGAGCTGATCTTAGGCCTAACTAGTAACTCTTGGTCTCAAAAAAAATTAAAGACTTTATTTTTCTTTTCTCAAGAAATATTGACCATTTACAGTGGTGTTTGATAGGTTTATGAGAGTCTGGATCCCTGAGTGGAATGCAGAAATGGGAAGCTTTTTAGTTTTTATGATGTGCCAGTAGAAGAGTCCTGAACCTTCAGTGATGCTCTGAAATGGATCTCCTAATTCAGGAAAGGCCAGAGGGCGTGTGAGCTTTTCCACTTGCTACTCACCAGCAGTTCATCAATCCCTCTTGCATGTTCACTGCTTGTTCTCCATCCATCCATCCATCCATCCATCCATCTGTCCATCCATCCATCCCTCCGTAGGTTCAGAATCTTTTCCCTATCCTCATCATACCTTCAGGTGTGTTCACCTTCTTGCTAAATCCCTTACTTACACAAGAGCACAAAGGAAAAGGGTAGAAATGATGCAGAGAAATGTCCTTTTGAGTTTTTTCATTGCGCACACAGCATTGAAAATGGCACTGAATTTAAAGTGCATTTCCCCTCTCCCATTCAGAGTCCTCTTGTGTGAACAGCCTGTTTGTGATCCTCTCCTGTCAGGGTGCAAGTGCTGGCAAATGTTGTGATTTCCCCATATATATCAAATAATTCAGAAAAACCACACATGCCCCAGAACAGTTCCGGTTGGACTGTGACAGTTATCATTTCTGGTGCTAGCACCAGTTAACCAATAGATTTTCTGTGGTTCAAGAACAGTAAGAAACATATTACTAAGGGTTTTTCCTTTAGTGGTGGAGCTGCTATACATCTACGATAGCATACTAATGAATGTACATCTGTTCATCAAAGGTGCTCATAATTGTATCTCTGGGCCTATCACTAAAATTCACAGAACTTAGGTGTTTATGGTCTTTATGAGCTAAAATCTTTGGATCTACCACTGTAAGAAACTTCTCTCACACATCCTGCCAGCTGACTCTGAACATGCACAAAACAATCATATATTCACTACTGAAAAGAGAATTGGCTGATCTGTTATTGACAGGTGCACTTTCCTCCCTAATCTTTCCACTGTTTCATTCCAAAACACTCAGAATAATCAGTTTCCCATGATCTTCTGCTATGCCACTGTATTTATTAACCACAATGACACTCCATGCTCAACCAACCCTTTGACTGAAGACTGCTCACTTGCTGATATGAAAATGCATTTATGACAACAATGTTCTGGAACATGATGTTACTAAAAAAAGTTTCTATTTTTTTTTAAAACAGAAAGATGAAACTCAGAGAAAGGGGCTTGCTCACAGGCTGTAAAAGAAGCAACGACCAGAAACTGCTGCTTGGAGTAAAACAGTTGTTTCCTAGTAAATATTGACATAATACATACATTTTCTCTAGGTCAGTAAGTCCTGCGAAAGCTCCTTTTGGAATGACTCTCATCTTGGTAAGGACAAATCTCCTGAAAATAGAGAAAATGAAGTGATTATTTACTGTTCACGACACAGGACTGCACGGTGACCTTGCCAGCACAGAAGAGGCTTGTATCACAGGCACAAGGATAATCTCTGGGCGGAAGGCTTTGGCATATAAATACAGCTGTAATTGTTCAAAGGCATTGTGGGACTCCAAATGCCTTCCTGAACCAAAATTCCTGAACAGCTATGGGTGACTGCTGGGGCTCCTCAGGGGAAACAGAAACCATCAGTAGTTCCCATTTCCCTGTTTGCTTCAGTAAGAAATCCAGACCTGAAGCTTCTCCATGTGCTGGAAGGGAACAGTGTCTTTCTTATCTCAACTGCTCTTTTGAGTGAGGCTCAAGCACAGGATGAAGCAGCACTATGGAGCCAGACTGGAGTGAGCTGGTTACACAAGGTTGCAAAGTGATGCATCCATGCTCATGCAGGATAAACTTTAACCTGCTGCACAGATAGTTTAAGGAGTAAGCTACTAACTCCGATCAGTGCAACTTTAATAACTTTATTGCTTCTCACAGTATCTCTTCTAACTAGTTTGTAATGTGCCACAAAATTTGGTCTTTGGAGTACACAACTCTATCACACATGCATCAAGACAAAATTTTTATCATTTTTAAATGTCACAGCATATACTTTATGAAAAAAAGACGTTTAAAATATCCTATAAACCTTTTTGTTATCCTGGAGTCATCTCCCTTAATCACAATAAACAAAGAGGACTAGAAAACTTCTGATGGCACTCAGCAAATGAAAGGCAGGGTTTCTACTGTAACTCCTCAGATAAATAAGGTGCTGTCTGGGTAATTGTTTTCTTTCACACATTTAATCATTTGTAGGTAGTGAGCACAAACAATTGCATATATAAACATGATCTGGTCATTGCAAGGCATCCGCTAGTAGTGGTTACATTGAGTGACAGCTGTTAAAATTTTTTTTTTCTTTTTTTCCTTTTTTAAAAATACAATCCTGCTCATTTTACATGCATGAACACTGCATACATACATCACGCCCTGTGATTCTGTTTCTTAGTATACTTTCCCATGGAAAAGGAAATTATTTTTTTTCTGAATCACTATAGAAGTCTTTTTTTTCAGTGAGCATGTCTGCCAGACCATTCCTAACTTTTATCATCTCAGAACTGGTTTTGCATGGCTACTTGGGATCACTTTTCAGCTCATGTCTTTGAGGCCTCATTGTAAGGTCTGCAGAAGGACAGAAATGGGAACTCAGCCTGGTATTACCCACTGTGCAGTCCTGCAAATTTTAACACAATGCCCCAAAACTAGAGACTTACTTTCTTACCATTCACATAAAGTATTCATGCAATCCTCATCTATGTTTTATTTCAGATGATTAGCTTAGAATTTTCATGGGAGATTATCATGTTTTAATTAAAGTTTTAGGGGAAAAAAAAAAGTATTATTCTGACAGAGTACCAATGTGAAAAGTTCCCATTTTTTAATTGTAGGTCTTTAGTAGAATCTACCCCCTCACAAGCTAATATTTACTTAAGCAGAACAAAGTCAATGCTCACCTCCCCTAGCTCTAGAGATGTTGCTGTGATTACCACACGAGGGAACTTGGCCTCACACTTTTTTAAACATTGAAATTTATGGTATTCTCAGTCCTGAAAGATGATAAAGTCAATTTGGTATTTCATTATTCTTGCACTATCATTAATGTAAATCAGAAAGAGCTTCAACACACTGTCACACAAGAATTACAGTATTGAGATCATTATGCAAATGTTAGAAGGATAAAAGAGCTTCCAGAAAAGGCCTAACCTGGATTAGGCAATTTGTAAAACTCTACTGAAAACAGGGCTGGTGTAATGCATGCAAAGCTGAGGCTGTGATTTCAGAGCGGTTAGGTACAATGGATCCAGCAGAACACCCAGCAGGCTTAGTGCTACAAAGCTGAACCATCAGGAAACTCTTTAACTTTGATCTGCTTTGAAATATTTCCCAAACTCTGCTTTGTAGAAATGCACACCTAGTTTTTGAGCCCTAGAAAGTGGCTTTGTCTGTAAAGGCACCTATCTTTTTTTCTTTATTTTTTTTTTTATTTCTTTTTTTTTATTTTTTTTTTTATGGCAGTGTGATAAAATGAATCCTTTCTCTGCAGGCACAGGTTATCAGGACCTTTGCAATTTTTTAATTAAACACTGGCCTATGCCATGCTTCACCACAACAAGAAATTACAGCCTGATACAGAAACTAATGGAAAGAAGGGAATCTCATGCATAAATGGGGTTACCTATATGAGAAAAGTCACATCTGCATAAAACTAAAAGTCAGATCTTGAGTTTCTTTGTTGAAGACCCTGATATCCTGCATTAACAAGGTGCCAGAATTCAGGAGCCACGTGTCTAATGCCCTGGAGCAGTTGAAGTTGAACTGAAGTTTAATAGCTGAAATCTCACATTCCACTTTAAAAAATTAAGGTTAATTGTTTTTAAACATCTCTAAGTAGGCTAATAAAGTCAGCCTTAATAGTGCAACGAACACTGAAAATTAGAATCAGCTACTTGTTGAATTATCCACTGTGTAATGAATAGGAGTCTACTGCAACTAGCCAAATGCTGTATTGCCAATAAATCTCACCCATTAGTCTCCAAGAATCAATCCGTACTTAACTTGAGATACTGGCTGTTCAGTACCAATTCTTTCTGAAGTACACAAAGAAAATAATTGAAAAGCATTTCCTTGAGTTTGTTGCTGGCATTATTTTAGGGTCAAAGAATGAATACAGTCCACTTTTCTTCAAGCATGTTTCATGTCAAGACAAACAGTTTACTTTAAAAAACATGTACATAAGAGAGATATGCGGTATTTGGTCCTAAAAATTTATGCTAGCACTTAGGCACCAGCAAGGAAAGCACTGAAAGCCCTGAACATTAAGTGCATGGCATGGAATTGAAAACCCAGAGCTAGGTGCCCTACATAAGGCATGAAAGAGTTTAGACTTAAGGTTAGGTGATCAAAAAATCTGTATGCAGAGCTAGCCTCCAGGAAACACTAAATTTCATCTCCCAGGGCTTTCAGCACCAGGCTCAACACACAGAGGGACCCTAACTCGCAGCAGGCCTTGCCACGAGGGAGGAAGGCATCATAGTCCCTCAACACAGTCCTGGCAGCCAAAGCAGAGACACAGGGAATGGGAATTCTCTCTTCAAGTCCTCCCTTACCCTGAGTGCTACTCCTGAACTTCATGCCTCCAGGTGGATGCTCAGTGGCCAAGGGACCTCTCCCTATATAGGCTCAAGCATCATGCAGCCAGGGCTAGATTCCCTGTGCCACCAAGACAAGGGGGAGCTTGCTACCCTCTCTAGAGGCCTTACAGTTAGACCTGATTTCCCTGGGACAAATAAAAAAATCGATAATTGCACATTCTTCAGTCCAAAGTTCAGTGATGCTAATCTTATTTAGGTGGTAAGTCCCAGTAGTCCTAGAAAGGACTCCAGTGTTGGAGTCACCAAAAACTAAACAAATGAGAAAGCAGAAAGCACAGGAAAGGAAACAAGCCCCAGATGGCTGCATGATTACATGAAGGCAATATACATAGCCAGAAATATGGAAATAGCTATAGTAACTATTGTTATTCACTACATACAGAAGTACAAGATAGATTTAATGCTGGCCTATTGTTCCTATACATGCCCTGATATCCATGAGAGGTTTCTAAATCCTGACTTAAATACATGTATTGAAAGTGATCCTTGGGGAGTTTATTGATAGGAACTGAAGCTGTCTGCTCCAGTTGTACTTTATACATTTATTTCTCTCTATATGCATGTTATGAATTTTAATATATTTACTTAATAAATAATATTGCTTAAGATTTAAGTGATTTTTGCTTCTCTTTTTCTAAGCAGTGAGAGCAGTTGTTTTCTGTTAAACAGTAATACATTTTTCCACCTGGAAGGACAGATAAGCCTACAATTAGACTATATTTCTCTGGACTGAACACGCACAATTCCCACAGCTTTTTCCATTTTTCATTTTTCAGTGTTTTATATGCCTCTTTATTTTTTATTTTTTTTTTAATCTTATGAATGGATGTGAGTAAATTCCTCTATTATGAATCTATGAAAAAAATGTTGCTAGACCTGTCAGGACCAGGGCAGAACTATCTCCTACTGATTTGTTTGTTTATACAGAGATATCTAAACCTGGTTATTTAAAACAGTGGGGTCACAGTTAATATGAAGCCATTCACATGGATGACTTGCATCACTTTATATCACCATGAAGAGCAAACAATGAAAATACATCTTGCTTCTGTATGGCTGTTTCTAGTAAAAGAGAAGTATCACAGTGCCAACTTAGTCTCAAAGCCTAGACAGGACATGATGCAAAGAACAGGAATTAGCAGGTACTGCAAAAATGTTCCTGAATAGCCCTCTAACATTTCCAGTTATGAAAAGATTTATTGAAGTTTTCCTAAAATAGAATCTTATGCAGCTGAAGTAGTTCAGACAGGCAGAACATAAGATATTAAGGAAAAAACCCTCCAGAAAAATTAATGTTCTTCCATCCAGTCTCACACAAATCCAGTGACAAAAAGGGATGAAGGACTGTACGTCATTATTCAAGTATCTGGTGCCCAAGGTATGGGTGATTAAAAAGACTTGCTAAGTTAAATGATAAAAAAAGTAGACCCATACAGGTCATTCATTTCTGCTGAATGTCACTGAAAATAAAGGTGCATAGGAGGAATGTGAAGTGTGCACATTAAGCAAATCAATGTAAATACAATATATTTGTGAGGTTAGCCATTTATGTGCTAAATGATGTATTTTGCATATTCAAAAATGAATTCTCACATCCTGGGCCCACAAGTTTTTCTTGAACAATTATGAAGATGTTCTTTGGCATAAATTTTCCACCAGAACTTACTCCTGCACTGCATTCATGCCTTCTACTCCTGACTCTCTTCCGTGGCAGATGCCTCCCACTCTGCTACTGGCAAAAGCCTTGTACAA